TGAAAATCGCCAAATATGAACAGGATTTATGTGCAATATGGTGGCATCTGAGAATATATGAGTACAAAGTGGAACTTTGGACAAAAAAGTTTTAAAATTGCGATGGTATCAAAAGTAAACTGAGTATATAAGTAAGTTTTTGAGAGCGTTTCGGCGATGGGTTATTTTCTGTTTTTGAAATAATGTCATCTCAAAATTTCGTATATATTCAATGTATATATGCACGGATGACTTTGTTTGGATTTTGTTTTGAGCATTGAAAATTTTGAAAAATCAAAAGTTATGCAGAACGAGAAAGCCTTTAATGCTGATTCTAAATATGCAAGTAGAATTTTAAAAAACTTTTTTTATGACAGAGAAAAGTGCGATTGAAAGATCCAAATATGCCTCTATTTGATCCCAGTACCTGGTCATAAAGATGAAGATCTATCTCAACAAGTAAGAATTCTTTTGGAAAAACTGAAGTGAATAAATGTGAGGTAAGGACTGAGGTACAGAGTAATGATATCAAAATATCATCTTAAGGGGTGGCAGATTTCCACTCTTACCGTGCGGGGTCCTTTATTACAATCACATCGCACTTGAACTATGTGGCTAGTTTTGTATGTTGATTCCTTCGTTTAGACAAGCGGTTAAGTCGAAAGTATCAGGAACTTTTACCCAACAGAGTGCGTGGGTTCGATCCCCACCGCGAAACTTCATCAACGACGGCATCTGGCCACTTCTTTTTATAGCTGAACTGGTAATGATATTTAATTTAGCAAGTTTATTGCTTGAATGGCAAGGTTAGACATCTGGGTATAAGACATACCTACAATGCAAAAAAATAAAATAAATAAATAATTTGGCTTTTAATTTGTTTCCACGCAGTAAGATACAATTCTAGCATTCAAAAATAATCATGTGGATTGTTCAGTTACATTTACTCAAATGAAAGCGATTATTTCGAACAATATTTATTGAACTATAGAGGAAAACTTCTTTTTTCTTGACAAGAAATATGATTATGTTGCCTTTCCTTAATAAAAGTAGGAAACACATATCTGTACAGGTGTTCGTATTTCATTGATAGCACTGACGTTTCAAATGTTATACACTATGCTTTATGAGAGAGAAATAAAAAGGTGAAATAACTTTTGAAGGAAGTGTTATACACTCAAACTCGTTTAGGTTTTTTACTAGGATCAATGGGTAGTATCTATGGGTAAAAGTTTATTGAAATTCAGACATATCACCTCGAGAGATTCTCTCATGAGATGAAAACTAACGTCAGCTACAAATTAGTCACTTTTCAACTTCAAAATTAATCGAACAATTGTAATGCCATAATACTTCAATCTAATTTTTTTACGTTCGCAAAAAGACAAGTGGCAAGACTAAAATCGAAAACATATAATTAACTGGAATCAGAACTTGAAAAAATCTGATTGGAGGATCCACACCCATATCCACAACGGATATTTCTAACGTTGTTTTGACATCAGTTATTGTAAACAAAGGCTGTCGATTATAAGTATACTCGTTTATAATTTCAGAAACTTTAGTTCTTGTTCTGTATTGGAAATTCGTTCTTTTTCTTCAATGAGTTTTGTATAGCTGGTTGAAAATTTTGCTGCTTTAAGTTTCTATGATTGTTTTAAGTATTCCAATGCCTGTTTAATTCGACCATGGTCATACCGTGCTATTGTAAAACTTTGATAGATCTTACCTAATAGGAGATGATCTGAAAGAAAAGAACTCTATTTAATTGCTTATACTTTTTTCCGATATTGAGATGCTTTATCATTCCTTCCTTGTCAGTAGTAAACGTGTGCAATATTATTATAGGCAGTTGCAATTATTGAATGAGTAGTGGGAAGTATTGATAGTCGAATTTCGCGAGATTTTTCGTACACTAACAAATTTTGTTCGTAATGTTCAAGTTTTTTGAAGACGATTTCAATATTGGTATAGCAAGTTGAAAGAAAAATCTGATTTTGAATTCGAATCAATAAGATAAATTCGTATCATATTTTTGTATATTATCGCTGCATGCTCATACTCTCCTTATGAAAAGTAGGTGGATATATTCAAAACTTCTATTGACGTAGAACAAACTAAGAAGATTTCTCTCCTTTGAAACTCATACTTTTGGAATAGATCATTGCCTCCTATATTTTCACTTCAAATCAAAAGATATTTGAAAGCAATCGGCAGAGTATGGTTGTGGATGAGAATGTAGAAGCAGCGGATGTCTACAGTCATACCCTTATATTGATATATAACTGGATAGGAGTTGTGAGCAAATTAAAGTTACAGATCATTATATTCCATTAGTCTTCTTGCAGAAGTGAAGCTGCAAAGCAAGAAAATATTCATAATCTTTATTTTCTTAACATATTTTCATAAGAACAACAAAAATAAGAAATAACTGGAACCCGTATAGAACCTAATTCGTATATTGAATACGTAAAAAATTAATAATAAAGAAAAATTAGAATTACTAGAAACGGAAAATGCTGCTTTCAGTGTGAATGTGATGTAGGAGGGTGTAGGCATCCTTTCATTCTACATCGGCATTAACACTTATGTTACAGTCATCGACTTTTTCGATCGGTTGAGGCACAGAATAATCAAATGCTATAGAACTAATCACATAAGACACTACCAGTCACCTTGGGTGCGAATTTGACATAGGAGAGATTCGGTTTCTTAAGAAGGGTCCATTTCATCAGTTGTTGACATTCTTATGTCCAACAAGCAACAACTGAGTCTTGTAACAAAAGACACCAATTACATTCCACTGAGTATTAGTGTGAGATGTAAGCGTGTACATTGGTGCCATTTTTTATCTGTAGCTATAAGCACATGCCCAGCTATAAATACAAAAGATATAGGTAAAAAATGAACCAAGAAGATGAGGTTTTTATTGAAACAATAATTTTTTCACGTCCTCTTTTGTCTTTGGGTTAGAAATCTGTTAATACTACTGAGAGAACATCGAAATATATAATAAATAAAGATGAGTCTTCTGTTATCAGACTCGAAGCAAATACTGTGTGATTGAAGATTGAATAAAAGACAACAAGAATAGCAACGGTATTTATATATATAGTTCAGAAAGGTAAGTTGGCTATAGAAAGGTCAAAAGGAAAAATATCCAGAAAGAAAATATTGATGCAGAAAACGGTCAAAAAATGTTGTAGAAAATTCTGACTAGAGCAATGTGCTTTATTTTGTACGCTAATGTTAACATATGCTAATAGAAACGAAAAATAATTCAAGAGACAAAAACAAAATAAATTGCTTTTCTTTTTCGTTTTACAACTATAATCGACAAACCATCTAAGTGTTCCATAGCTAGGTGTGAATGTAGATGTGGGGTTTGGCAGAAAAGAACTCATACACCCATACCCTTTTTTTTTAAAATTTAGTTAATGTATAAACCAAGTTAACAGTAGGTGTATATGGACGATACTAATGAAGATCACAAGCAATTTATCACTAGACTTAGTACCAGCAATTAATTCAGATAATCATTAATTGTGAACAAAAGACTTAGCTAGAGAATGTTGGGAATTTCGACACAATAAATGTGGATTCATTCTAACTTAAACCATACTCATACTGTCGTGTTGTGATCTTTTTTTAGAATTCTCCGTCAATTTTACTATTATTTATGATTGTAGGATCGAATTCGACTTATAATTTCTATGAATCCTAAAATCCAGGCGAATCTTACATTCTGTTCTTTCTTTTGAAAAGCAACTCTCCTTCAATTGTATTTTCTCCCAGAGTTAGACGAATGATCGTGGTACTTGTAAAAATTCAAGAGTGAAGCACGATAAGTTTCAAATTAAAATAGGATAAAAAATATGATACACATATGTTATAGGAATCAGGGTTTATTTTAGCTCGACCCAGATTTCAGATTTTGATCGGATCGTCGTTCCAGCATCCAAAACAAATCTTAACAAAAACTTGATAAAACTTTGATAGGATTCTCAATTATTTATTTTCAAAGAATTTGGGTTAGAACTTGAAATTCCATAAAGTATCGTATTAAACCGTAAGAAATCGCACAAACAATAAATGCTAGAATTCGAGACAGGACTGTGAATAGAACTTAACAACATTCTTGAGGTCTAGGATTCTGACGAATTCTTCGAAGATTAGTCAAGAAATAAACAGAACTGAAATTAGAAGAGAAGAACTATTTTGTGAACTGTTGTTTTTCAAGTTTATTGTGGCAGAGGTGGGTTTTCAGCCGCGATAGACATCTCTAATCGAAACGAACAGCATACGTGTTTTCTTTTCTTTATGAAACGTAGTAAAGTACAGAAAACAAAACCATCCAACAGTTTCTAGACCAGTAATAATCTATGTTAAACACTAGAATTTTGTACCCTTTCTGAATATGGATTTGCTGATTGTGTACTTATTTTCATTCGAGAACAATTCGCAGATTAAAACTTGCCTCACAAAATGAAGAATTTGAATTTCTTTTGATGTTTTGATAAATTATGAGATATATCGTTTTCATTAATATCTTCCAACGAACTTCTATGTTAGTCATACTTATATCCATACTATTTATGAAACAGAATTCTTTTAGTTTTGTTAGAATTATTTCTCACACCAAAAATTATGTTTCCTATTTAAGATCAATCACTATTATATATACGAAAAAATACAAATAAAACATGTCCTAAACAACTAAGTCTTTACCACCATAAATATGGATCACGCTTAATAAATTTACTACAATAATCATTAAGTAAATTTCCTGATTTGATTAAAACATTTAATTCTTTTAAACACCAGATATGAAAATCGAGAACTTTTACTTTATATCTATTTGATACATATTGAAAAACTTCATTTTGTTTAATTACATTTAAAGTGATGTTTCTGAATACTAAATAATTCAATTTTAATGCACATAAATTAGATGTAAAACATAACAATTGAATAATTTCGGCGAATGAAAATCTATAGCATTCAATATCTAACTTTGTAAGTTATTTTAAAGGAATCATATGACGAAGTGGTTTTGGAATTGAATCATTTAATGTTTCAAAATGATATTTAATAGTTAATTGATTAACATTTGGAAAATAACTTGGATAATTATCTTTTATTTCTTCACTACAAATATAAAGATGTTTAACTAAATGGTAATTTTCTTTTTGTATTTGTGAAGAAATTGGTTCATTTGATTCCCAATAATACACATAATCTTTTCGTCTAAAATAGAATAAGAATAATTTTCTATTCGTAATTATATTTATCGCAGCGAGTAATATCATAGCAGAATCAGCTGACAACCTGACTTTTTCATCAAACGAGAGAGAAGGCTCAGAACCGTAAAGAAACTATATTCTGAAACTAATAGGATTTTCGTAAGATCTTCGATTTGAATCAATAGACTTGCACTGCATATGGGTTATTCATCATCCTGAACTCAACGATAAAATTTCTTTTTAGTTCCACGATCAATCTTCATGCTGTGACCAAGACACTATTGACGCAAGGATTATCTAAAACTGGTCACGAATATGTGTTTTTTTTTCGTTGGGGTGTGGGTGTGGATGTGAAGCATAGAATAAAGCGTTCACACCCCACACCCTTCGTACACTAGTCTTATATTTTCAACGAGACAGTTCAATAACAATGAACATGTTAACAGAATATTTGACAGGTATGCCTGTTTTAAAGCATCTTGAAATTAAAGCACACAGTAAACTTCTTGATGCAAATGCATGGAAGATATTGTTGGAAACATCCTTACCATTACTAACTTATTTTACTCTTCGAACAACTACATTTCGTATAGAAGAAGTTAATCTTCAGAATGTGCTCACTTCATTTCAAAGTTCATATTGGATATCGAAAAAGAACTTCAATATAATCCCATGTGTTCGATTGCGGTCAAACTGCGACGCAGTTGCGCCGCAACTGCGTCGCAATTGCTAAAAGAGGTGCCATAGATGACGTTTCACTTTATTAATATTTTTATTAGAAATTACAAAAAATTTTTAAAATACAAAAAATTAAAAATAACTGCTAATAAAAAAACTCTTAAAAAGTTAAAAAAATAGAAAAATTTAAAAAAATAAAAATCTAGAAAATAAAAAATAGAAATCTAAAAATAAAGAAATATATGCAAGGACACATCTCAAGCATACGAGCACGTTTCTTTCTT